TGCTTCCTCTGGGCACGAGGATTTTAAAAAAAAAAAAAAAGTGTGTGTGTACATTGTGTGCTCACTCAGAAAGCATTTCACATTTGCCTTACAGGGTGCCTGTGGGGCTAGGGTCTCTAGGTGCAGCTGTCCCCTCCCCAGCATACACATCAGAAGTTCCAACCGAGTTTTTCTATATATCCCATCAACCCTTTGACATTTTCACCCTCCCTTCCAGAGGTCTCCAAAGGAGCCCCTCTGGGAAGCTGGGCATGGTGATGAGCAGCAGGAGAAGGTCTCACTCCACATGCTGGACAAGCTGCTTTTTCTTTTTTTGGACAGCAGTGTGGGCCCATACATTAAAACCCTGGGCAATGGGAAGGTGCCTCTTCTGCGAGCAGGGGAAGCCACCGCAGAGGCAGATTGAGTGTGGATCTCAGGGCAGGGGGAGGAGTCCTCAGCTCTCATCTCCTGGAAGAGAGAGCAGCCTCCCTCTTTGGGAGGCAGCCTGGTGGCAGATGGCCGGGCTGGGGCGCTGAGCTCTCAAGGGGGTGTATCGTTTCTCTGACTGTTCTGGATGCTGATATCCATGTTGGGGAGGAGCTCCTCCTTTGACTTGCTCCTGTAGTCTTTATGCCCTGAAGTTTTTTGCAGCTGCTGCTAGAGATCACAGGCAACTTGAGCTGCAGCCTCGCTGGTGCTTTCGTGGGTTGTCTGCCTCTGTTCCCCCCTGATGTTGTTCGACACTGATGTGCTAGTTCGTGTCCTTCCCTGTGCCCTAGATTTCCTTTTGTATGTGTAAAGGTTCACAATGTATGATTAAAACTTTCAGCCACAGGTGTGATTCAGCTCTACCTCTTGTCTAATAGTTGCAAAAAAACCCCAAAAACAACAAAAAAAAAAACCCCAAAACAAAATAAAACAAACAAACAAAACCCTACCGACTTCTGACAGTGACCCTGTGGTTTCAGAGCACAGCCAGGGACAGGGCAAAGTAATTGCATTGGCCTCATGAGAAATCACCTGCATCCATCTGAGATACACATACACTATTCCACCACTCCCCCACTGCAGCTATCGAGATTGCTTTGCATGTAGGGTGGCACCTGCAAAGTAGGGGACATTTTGGTAAGTGAGGGCAACATTAATGGTGCAGAGGCTAGTGAAGTTGGGAGTGGGAGAAAGACAAGTCTGTGGGATGGATGAAGTTTTACAGTTACGAATTACACCAAGGTGACTTGTCTCACCTCTTGTAGGCGGTCTCTGTGATTGCTTTCCTTGGTTAATGAGCTATATGGAAGATGCTTTTGGTGTATGACAGAAAAGTGGTTGGGATATAGTGACATTAATTGTGGCCCATGGTCTCACACTATTTTATAAATTGTTTCTAGGAGCCTAAATTTATTTTCAGGGGAGAGCTGATTTTCCTCTGGATTCATGTTCTGAGACAGAATGTGCCCATGTACCAGTCCACCTTCTTTGGGAATACTCTTATTTGTAGGTAAAGCATATCACTGACTTAACTTTGCCTCTGCTGGTTGAGTGTCATTACAAGTCTCAGTAATGCTGAGACTCTCAGAAGAAGAGCTACACCCATCTCTTCATCTCAGTGATTTCATTCTTGCCTTCTTCCCACCTACAACAGGGTTTTTGGAGATTCTCAGCTGCAGCAGGGTCTGGAGGAATTGCCATGTCTGCGGGTGTATCACTGTCCTATTTGTGAGCTTGAAAAAAGATTATTTGACGGACTGCATCCAGGTTATTCCACTCCTGGACCCTGTGTATCTGATTCTTGGGTTTTAATTTTATGGATAATGCTAAAATGTTAGTCTGAGTATTTCTACTTTGCACAACCCCAAAGCGCAGACTTTTCAATGATCTCTGTGCTCCCTACAGATTTTCTTCTCCAAACCAGAGGGGCTGTTTCAGAAACCTTTTTCAAATAAGAATTTAATAGAGACAGGCTAAGTGAGATGAACTGTAGGTGTGGCAGGCAGGTTGAAGATGAGCACCCCACATTTGTCTGGAGGAGAGAGGCTGGCCCCCATAAAGAGGGTTAATATAAATTGGCTAAGATTGTGAGTGATTGGGAATGCCTTGAGACATCTGGTTCCCATCTCTGGTTCTCATTTCTATCCTTATTCAAAGCGACAAATGCACAGTAGCTGTCTTTGAAAATTGATGGGGGTAGGAGCTCGAAGTCCTCTAGAGAACACAGCTTGCAATGTATCGAGCACTGGGTGGATGGTGGAAATTTCTAGTGTTAGCCACTTATGTGAAAGTCAAACTCAAATCAAATTGGTTAAGTCAACAGCGCCAGTCCCCAGATGATCTTCAGGAATGGAGGGGCTTCCTGGATCGGTTTTCTTCAAGAGCAGCCAAAATGGTAAAGCAAGATAAGTGAACTCATATGAGTGGTAAAAGTATCTGTTAGATCCATTCTTTTGCCTTTTTTTTTTTGGTTTTCTGTTTGGTTTGGTTTGGTTTGGGTTTTAGGGAAAAAAAATAGCCAGAGAAATAGGAGCATAAAAAGCCCTGTTGCTTTTGTTGCTTCTTCCCGGCATCCTACATCACCCACTAGGTGTTCAGGATCCTAGGGAAACTTTTTTTTTTAAAGTAAATTTTATTGGATATAGCCAGACCCTCTATATCAGATCTGATTAAATATTCTTCTTTCTTGAGCTGTGACAGAATTGAACAGCTGAGCTTGAGGTGCTGGAACTCAGATCCTCTCCGAGACCTTTTAGTCAATCCCCTTCTGCAATTAACTAAGCATCCTAATACAGGTGTTGCTTTTCTGTATTCACATTCTTTCCTGTATCTTTTTCTTTCAGGAAAGGATGTTCTTGTCACTTATCTGTTCTGAAAGCTAGAGTCAAATCTGCCTTCTTTTTTTGTTTTAATCCAATGGCTTCAGTAAATATCCAATGTTTTAAACTGTGTGTGATTGTTTAACACTCTTAAAGATTAAAATTCTGTAGAGAGAATCTTTTATCCCACTTCTAGTGAAGTTTGTTTGCTTATATTAGAGGGGCAACAAAGAGACACTTTGCTCACGACACGCAGGAAGAGCAAGCTCCAGGCTGCAGAAGGCACTAAATCCAGGTACATTGAAGCATCTGTTGTTAAATGCAACCGAAGGGCTGGTAACACATCCAGTGAGAGGAGTTGTCTCTGGGAAGTCAGCTTGCGTTTGACGTCAGAAAGAAGCAGGCTGGTGGGGAGTGATCCACAGGGTGGAGAGCATCGACTTCTCTCCCCTCATGGAGGAAGGGGAATGCTGCCAGGTGGACATGGCTAGAGGAACCATGTGACATCTGTTCGTTCTTGCAGTCACTGTCCAGTTATGGTCCTTGCAAAGAAGTCCAGTCTTTACCAAACGTTTGAAGCCCCCTGTCTAATAGTTAACTTCTTGTTGACTTTTAACAATGCTATTCCCACTGGATCGTGCTCCTCTATCTCTTTGTTCAAAAATAATAGCTTTTGTAGTAGTTAGCAATTTCTCAGGCAAATGCAATTCTGTAGCATTGGCATGGTTCCATTAATCATAGAGAGTAATCTGTTTGTGCCAAAAACCTATCAAGTTGAGTTGCCTTTTTGAGAGCTGGTGGGAATGTGTACCCAGTGGTGTTCTTGCCGGCATATGGACTTCTGCGTGTGCAAGAATGGCTGGGGCATGGTGGGGGTTCCCCTTTGCTGTGCTCGGGGTACACAACTCCAGCAGGATGGAAAAGCCTGGCAAGTCTCAGGACTCAGAGCGATATGGCCAGATCTTGAGGAAGTTTTGCATTTTATGCAAAATGGCCTTCACCAGCCCTTTTCTATTCACTCCCCTGAAGTTTTCAGCACTCAGAATAGGGACTTAAATCTCCTTAAAATTTAGCCTTAAGCTCTGTCAGCAGTCTAGTATGTGTCAGATAGACACCAGATGAGGGTAAGAAATGTGTGTTTCCTTGGGTTATATGGTGAACTGCTCATAAGGAAAGGGGGACCGAATGTGGCCCAGATAGCAAACGAAAAGGATCATTTTAGTAGCAGTGTCTAGGAAGAGCTGGGGTGTGGGTGTTCAGCTTGATCATCTGGCAGACTACAGAGAAGAGAGTCCTCTGGGCTGAGCCCTGTTTGAGGTACACTTGTGTCGGGAACAAGCCTCGTTGGGTGGCAGGGCCCGAGCAGCATGTGTTCACCGGGCTGTGCAGGTGTCCTGTCAGAGCCACTGGTGGAGGAATGGGCAGTACATGAAAGTGGTAGCTCCTTTGGGGATGAAGGGAGAGGAGAGTGGTTGTCTACAGCAG